GAACTCCATACTGCTCTTGATCAAGCTCACGATACTGCTACAGGAGCTGATAACATACATTATCAACTCCTGAAGCACTTACCAGAATCATGTTTAGAAACGCTATTACATATTTTTGATGATATTTGGACGTCAGGGGAATTTCCTTCCTCATGGCGTGACGCTATAGTTGTACCAGTACCTAAACCTGGACGTGATCATACAGATCCGTCAAATTACCGACCTATTTCACTAACAAGCTGTGTTTGCAAAACCATGGAACGCATGATTAATAATCGACTTGTTTGGTACTTGGAAACTAATAACCTTATAACAGATATACAATGTGGTTTCCGCAAAAACAGAAGTACTGTCGATCACCTAGTGCGTTTGGAATCATTTGTTAAAAACGCACTCATTAATAAACAACACGCTGTGTCTATCTTTTTTTATCTTGAAAAGGCCTATGACACTACGTGGAAATATGGCATTTTAAGAGATTTACATGGCTTCGGATTGCGAGGACGTTTGCCTCAATTTATAGCGAACTTTTTAAAGGACAGACAATTTCAAGTCCGAGTGGGTTCTACCCTGTCTGATCATTACAATCAGGATCAGGGTGTCCCACAAGGCAGTATTTTGTCTGTGACTTTATGTAGTATCAAGATCAACAGCTTATCCAAGGTTTTAAATGATTCAATCGATGGATCACTTTTTGTGGATGATTTTAATATTTCTTGTCGTGGTAAAAATATGCATACTATTGAACGACAACTGCAGTTGTGTTTAAACAAAATACATAAATGGTGTCTGGAAAACGGCTTTAAATTTTCTAAATCCAAAACCAATTGCATACATTTCTGCCGTAAATACAAACCGCATGAAGACCCTGAACTATCTCTGACTGGCACTCCCATCAAAGTTGTTAAGGAGGCCAAGTTCTTGGGTTTAATTTTTGACTCTCATTTAACATTTCTGCCGCATATTAAATCCCTCAAAACTAACTGCCTGAAGGCACTTGACTTGTTGAAAGTTGTTTCAAATTCTAAGTGGGGAGGGGATCAAGCCACTCTCCTACACCTATATCGATCATTGGTCCGCTCGAAACTTGATTATGGCTCCATCGTACATGGTGGAGCCTGCAAGAGCAACTTAAAACTATTAGATTCTGTCCATCACCAAGGTCTAAGACTATGTCTTGGGTCCTTTAGAACTTCACCTGTTGACAGCCTCTACGTCGAGGCTGATTAGCCATCTCTTACACAACGCCGTATAAAATTAACTTTACAGTATATTACAAAACTTTATTCCAATGAGTCAAACCCTGCATATAATTGTATCTTTACTCCACTATATGAAGATCTGTATAACAAGAAACCTTCTCTTGTTCCGCCTCTTGGTGTAAGAGTGAAACCTTTCCTTTCTGCTGCTGGCATTGAGCTAGAACATATAGCTCCTTCCCGTTTTCTTTCTTCTCCGCCTTGGCAGTTGGTTAGGCCACAAGTTGACCTAACATTAACTACATTTAAAAAATCAGAAACAAATGAATTACAGTATAAACAAGAATTTAGTCAATTAAGAAATAAATATAATACATACAAATCCTTATTTACAGATGGGTCCAAGGATGGTGGCGCAGTGGCATGTGCCACTGTCATTGGATCCCGAACAATATCTTCTAGAATACCGGATAACAGCTCTATCTTTACAGCAGAAGCAAACGCCATCTTAACAGCTCTTAAATGTATTAATAAACACCGTAAATATAAACAATATATCATCTTTTCAGATTCTCTTTCGTGTCTTCAGGCTATTAAAAATCTTTCTTGCAAACATCCACTTTTATTAGAAATTATTGAATTGTACAATGAACTTGCTACTGGCCAATGCGACATCGTCTTTTGTTGGTTACCCAGCCACGTTGGCATTTCTGGGAACATGATGGCTGATATTGCTGCTAAGGCAGCCCTCAACAAATCTGTGACACCACTTCTTATCCCATACTCTGATTATAAAGCCAGCATTAGAACATACATCCGCGATCTAATGCAGAAGAAGTGGGACACCCAAGTAGGTATTAATAAATTACATGCAATAAAACCCTACATTGGTTACACCTACTTGGGTTGTCAGTCCAGATTTGAAGAGGTCATTATGCGACGATGTCGCATTGGCCATACCAGATATACTCATGAATATTTATTGAAAGGCGAAGATCCTCCGTTTAGTATCCCTTGTGATGAAAGGATCACAGTCAAGCGCATTGAATATTCCATCACAAGGGATATCTATTTCACATCCAAAACACTGAAGGATCTTTTTAATAATGTCAGTTCTCGTTTAATTCTTGCATTTTTAAAAAAACTAGATTTGTTGACTGATTTGTAAATAGGTATATATTTTATTATTGGTAGTTTAGATTAGCAACTGAGATTGTTAGTGGCTGTACCCTCAAAGGGGCTTGACGTAGCGTAAAATTATTGTCCTCCTGAGGGGGTACGTAAGTCCCAAAACTTTCAAAGTCAATTTAAGTGTCCCTGCTTTTTAATCGTAGAATAAGTGTGTTTTTAATTTATGGCTAGATTTCTCTTCTGTCGCCAATGGCTGAAGGGATGGTGTAAATCCAACTAGGGTCCATGCAGGTAGCAAAGGCACTGTAAGTCCCCATGGTCTCTAGTATGGTGATCTACCTTCAGTTGTTGGCGATCTATAGCCCATTTTTACATTGTATTGTCTTCTTTAATTGGAATGTTTTAGCTTTTTTCGCTAGTTTTATATTGATAGCTGTGATTATCTAGTATTTTTACTGTCCTTCGTCGGCAGGTTTTTTATAATATACATATATTTCATTCTAATATCGCATGTTCTCGTCACGATATGGCTGAAATATTGCCGATGTGACGTTAAATATTAACTCACTCACTCACTCACTGAACGATAGTATTATGATAACCTATCTTTTGGGTGGATTTATTGGGGATCGACCCCGCACTTTTTTGTTGGGCGACAAGCTGTGTGCCCTAGAACGGACGTTTTCGGACACGTCCATATCCTCAATAGATCCATATCTGTTGAAGAATTGAATTTTATTTTCTGAGCCTTTAGGGGCTCTGCCACTTAGCTTTTTCAATGAATCTGGCTTTTTACCTTTGCTTTTAGCGGTTTGTTGAGACCTTACTGTTGACTGAGTGGATGGTTCATGGTCAGAGGATGCCTCCGACTGGATTCGGGATGTACTAGGAAGTGGTTCAGCTGTCTGAGTAGATATGGCAGTTGAAATAATTTGAGGAGAATCTGTTGTAACCCATGTTAAGTTGGTCTGACAACTTGCAGATAATTTGGTGACTGTAGAGTTTGCTTCTGGCGTTCTGGCAATGGAAGCATAGCTTTGTGTTGGTTCTTTGCCTTGACCAACTTTTGGGTGAATTTAATTCTGTTGATGGCCATTTGCTCTTTCCAAATAGGACAGTCTTTAGAGAATGATGGGTGGTCCCCTGAGCAGTTAGTACCTTTTTTTGTATCACTGTCACAATCTTCTGTTGTGTGTGTCTTTCCACCGCAGTGAGCACACACAACAGACAATGTGCAAGTATTCACGCCATGACCGAACTTTTGGCACTTGAAGCACCTAAGGGGATTCGGAATGTAAGTGTCAACAGTGAGGTTACAGTAGCCTGCCTTCAGCGATTTGGGGGCAGTAGGTAAGGAAAAGGAAAACAGATAGGTGTTGGTTTTTATGGTTTCATTATTTTTACGGGTTGTAAAACGCTTAACATACAACACACCCTGATCTCTAATCTCGGAGACAATATCTAGTTCCGACATGTCAGCCAGCAACCAATCACGGTCTCTGACGATTCCTTTGCTTGTGTTAAGTGTTTTGTGGGCCGTGACAGTGACTGGAATGCCGACAAAAGTTTCAAACTGGTGCCTTTTGCCGCACTCAATCAACAGCGCACCAAAACGTAATCGTTTAATAGTCTTCACATCTCTGGCAATTCCTTGGATACCCTTTGATACAGCAAATGGGTTTAACTTCAGCGGTGTCTTATCTTCGGTCTCAAGAACAAGAAAACGTGGCCAGTAATCGATTGAATTGGGCAGTCTAAGTTCGTTGTCAATAGGATCAGTATCAAGATGACGTTTGTTTTTCTTCTGGGGAGTTTCGTAAGCCATAGCTAATAGATTATGGTTCAACATCCGAGCTCCCCACCCTCCACGGAGTATCACAAGGACAATGCTAAAAACAAGTGGGTCTCCGACTTGCAGCACCAAGGATACTCGGATGATATACTCCAGCAGAAGAGTTAGAAATAACTAATCTACCAGCTTGGCCCATGAGCCACCGCCTTCTGGGCATAAGACTCTAGGCAAAGTTAATAATAACATATTTCAAAATCACAAACGTTTTAGATGAACAATGATGCCAAGTCCGAAACTGAAACAATTCCAAATCAAATGTGTGCAATGACATATAGATATATATATAGTCCATACACAGGGCTTGGCGTGACCAGCCGATTGGTTGAACCGGGCCCATTCATCCACCCGTCTAGGTGAAGTCAGGGCCGAAGTGGTGTGTTGGGCAGAGGAACACTGGTCCTGGAACCAGTGCCCTCAACAACAAGAATCCCTTCCTCTACCGACACAGGGGCGCAACCCACGGCAAACGGGTTGGTGGACCAAATATCCCCCCGGGTCCACAACGGGGGATCGAAGGGCGCTTAGCGTGACCCAGCACCCACCACGAGGAGGTGGCCCTTCATGGGCGCCTAGTAAGATAAGACGTAAAGTCAAAGTGACATATGCAGATCTTCCAAAAAGTGAGTGAGTGAGTTGGGTTTAACGCCGCTTTAGCAATATTCCAGCAATATCACGGCGGGGGACACCAGAAATGGGCTTCACACATTGTGCCCATGTAGGGAATCGATCCCGGGTCTTCGGCGTGACGGACGTAATGCTTTAACCACTAGGCTACCCCACCGCCCCAGATCTTACAAAGAATGTTTATACTTGCCTACCTGAACAGTTTGGTAATGTAATTTCATCCCGGGTGCCGTCATGTTTACACTCTGAGTCTCCCCAGGTGTCTTGTCCATTGCATCCTTGGCAGGTGAAATACACTGACTGGTTGTACTTCAAACTTCCCCTCATCCTGTACCCTACCGGCACATCCAATGGACACTCCAACGTTGTCACATTCACTGAACAGATATGAAAATGTATGTATCGAATGTGAAACAGTCATATATAGTTGAACCAAACATGTTATCCAAAATATTAAACGTAAAGCAATGTCCTGAACTGGGTATGTAAGTGATATGCAAAGAGATGTATTGATACCAAGCCTACCGGTTTGTCTCCCTTTCCCTGAAGATGTTTCGCCTAAACGTGTTGACAACAAATACAGGTGACTCTATTAACGACTAATATTTAGACCCTTAGTTAATAAAATATAATAAAAAATACGTTACATTTCCAAAGCTAACACCCATGGTCCTTAGCATGGTGGTCTACCTTCAGTTTCCCCTTTTTGTTTTATATTGTATTGTCTTGCTTTTAATTACATGCTAATACACTAGTCGTTCTACTGTTCATCGTCAAAAGTTTTTTAAATTTCTAATTTTATTGATTTTTAATATGATAATTAATTGTTTTCGTCACAATATTGTCGATGTAATGATAACTATATATATATATATTAACACACTCACTCCAAAGCTATCATTACAGTGACCAAAATGGTTTCCGACACAATTACCTATTTGACTTAATTTCGTGATGGGGTGGTAGTGGCAAGAGATTTTGCACGTCACCTTCAAAAATAGTGTTTGATTATTCACATTGGTACAACGTGTGAAGCCCATTGCTGGAGTCCTCCACCAATACTGTCGAACTATTGCTGAAATTGGCACAAAACCGTATTCACCCACTCCTTAAGGTGTGAGACAATATCAATTCATTCATTCTAAAATCATTCAGGTTTTGGTTCCCACTGATATACAGACATCATTAATGGGATCATAAAACAAACTGTACTCATCTCTCCTTCGATTTAACATTAAGTTGTGAACTGTTCAAATCAATTAAACGATTCTATTCAGATCGGAAATGCAGGGCAGAAGACTGACTGACTGAGTTTGGTTTCACGCCGCTTTTAGCAATATTGCAGCAACATCACGGCGGGGGACACCAGAAATGGGCTTCACACATTGTGCCCATGTGGGGTTTTGAACCCGGGTCTTCGGTGTGACGAGTCAACACTTTAACCACTAGGCTACCCCACCGCCCCCAGCATGGCAGAAGAGTGAAGATAAATATATCAATGGATCAGTACAGCCAGTGATGAAAACAGATGTCTATGGAAAGTGTTAAAAGGTCCTCTCGTACTACAAAAAACACTAAGCATGACTTTCCTATCAGCAGAGTGAACAGTATTCAGAGTTTTGGTTGACCAAATCACCAATCAGATACAACGTTTGGGCAACTAGGACATGTAATCATAGGATTCTGACGTAATGAGACAATGAGTAAATGTATGAATTTTACCTGTGTTGTTGTGTGCATCGGCTTGAGTTGAGATACACTGCAGCAGAAGAACTGAGAGAACAGCGCACACAGCCGACATAGGTCCCATCATCAAAGCCTTTGAGTCATACTCTCAACCACTTTGTTTAGGCTGTTGGTGTTAATTCAATAATAATACAATTGTCACTTACGGTATTTCCTCCAATAAGCGCCCAGGGCTTTTCAACGGAGTTCCAGACCCGACGCATGTTAGAGGCCAGGCGCGTTTGCGCTTACTGGGTCTAATTACCGTAATTGTTAGTGAGCTGCGCTTATTAGAGGAAAGTTATTTACAAAACCAACAGGGATACAACATCAAGAATCGTCTTACAACTTGCAACAATATCGAATAATCCCTCAGAGACATGTCACAACTGCACACACAACTATTATAGAAACCATTATTCAGTCACAACTCACCAGGAATTCACACAAGGGAGTCTCCATTCCCACTTGGTGTTAATTCAGATGTGACACATACATCTCTTCAGTATAACTCGTACGGATCGAACTGCTTGAAACTTGAAAAAACCGGATGGAAAGACGTTGGTAAAGTCGGAATGAGACCACTGTACTGATTCCTCGACTTGTTTTGCAGTCGCCAGCTACCAGTCTATGAAACTGACAAGTATTACGGAAGAAAGATTTCATGTGCCGTTGAGTTAACACGATCTTCTTTATGATGTATTGATTTTTTTCTGAAAGGGGTTTCATTTGACAAGACACCAGCTCCACAACTTGGTTGTTGTGTCACGCTTCCTCCTCCCCCCTTTCGAGACCGCAATGTGGAGATAATTCGACTCTTCTCCACTTGCTTCCTCCTTCATCTGAAATAATATCACGCAGATATAAGTTACGAAACTATTTCACTGCACCTTCGATGACAATGTACTCTTCAACGCACCCTACGACATGGGACGTTGCGGCACCTTTGATGGAAATGGACGCTTCAATGCACCCTACGACATGGGACGTTGCTGCGCACCAGACGTCGTGGGACGTTGCACAGAAACCATGTAACTACACAAGGACGTGAACCTGGAGAAACAAAAACAAGCCAACACACATAAGTAGAACAATAAATATTGATGACAACAAAAGACTCATGTTTGAAACATTAAAACTTTACCTGCGGTGTTGTGTGCATCGCTTCACTACTTGTATTAGTCATATTGAGCACACTAGATTAACAGTCTCTGTAGGAATATACCTCGGCGATTATACCCTATATTGGACTCTTGTAGCTGTCAGTCAAGCAACGGGCGGTGGGGTAGCCTAGTGGTTAAAGCGTTGGCTCGTCACGCCGAAGACCCGGGTTCGAATCCCCACATGGGTACAATGTGTGGAGCCCATTTCTGGTGTCCCCCGCCGTGATGTTGCTGGAATATTGGTAAAAGCGGCATAAAACCAAACTCAGTCAGTCAGTCAAGCATCACTGACAATATATTGAATAGCTGTGTCAGAACTAGTGGTGTGACAATTCATTCATACGCATCGATGCATCGATCCATGGATCGCCGATACAGTGAATCGATACAAAGTTTTACATTGTCGTCTATCCCGATACGATACTTCAAATGGGCCATGATGCATCGATGTTTATCTTTAAATATTGACGAATCGTGATATCTGTCAAGATATACTGTTTTTAAAATCAGCTCAAACTTCATTCTATCATGTGACTGCACTGACTGCATCCAGCAACATGCAGATATTAAAGGTGTTTTTGATCTATGTTTTCCGTTTATAACAGTATTATGTTTTACTTATTTTGTACTTGTTTTTAAAAAGTGTATTATGTGACTTTTTTCAAATTAAAGTTTCATTTAAACATTGCTTTTGTTTGGATCTTAAGGTATTTTATAGTTGGTGTTAAAATGAAAGGTTTTAGTATGGTGATACGTATCATATCGCCACCCTTATATCGGGATTTGTATCGTATCGCAGATTCAGTGCACAATACTTTGGCAATATATCGTCGTAACTAAACTGTTAGTATCGTGATGTACCGTATAGCAGGTTGTATGCCAATACCAGCACTAGTCAGAAATGTACGTATGTGTATATTGGTATGGATTCTTACTTGAAAACAATACCCCCTAAAGATGTAATACTAATAAGTTATATGGTATGATTAACTTATGTGTGGAGAGTGCATATTCTCACAATCAATTAGTTTTTAAAAGCATTAGGTCATACCTTAACATTCTTAATGTCGCAACCCTATCTAGCCAAGCTCGCCACTTACTTCGTGTCACACCAAACGCATTTTGTGTATTTCACAGTGATATCGACCCGTGAATATCTGGGTGAAAAATTGATCTTTCGTAACCCATGCATGTCGTAAGAGGCGACTTACGGGATGGGGTGGTTGACACATGTCATCGAATCCCACTTCATAGATCAGTTCCAATGCTGTTGGTCACTGGATTGTCTGGTCCAGATTCGATTATTTACAGACCACCGCCATATAGCTAAAACAATTGCGTGTGGTGTAAAACTAAACTCACTCACAGTGACATAATATATACATATGTGTGTATATTGTTACGAGTTGATTTACAAATTGAAACTATAAAGTTAATTGTGAACCAGTCCCTATAAGAACTACTCTAAGTCCCCATGGTCCCTAGTATGGTGATCAACCTTCAGTTGTTGTCGATCTATAGCCTGGTTTTCTATAGTTAAATGTTTTAGATTTAATTACTGGTTGTACGTTTCTATCGGTGATTATCTATTTATTTTACTGTCCTTCATCGACAGGTTTTTGTAATTGAATTACAATCATTATCAATTTATAACTTTTTAAGTCACGATATGGCTGAAATATTGCCGAAATGACTATAAGTCTTAACTCACGCACCATAAGAACTATGTCTGAAGCCAACAAAGAATGATGATGAAATGAGTTGTATTCGAAAATTGACTCATTTCACAAATCAATACAACACAATACACATCTGAGAAATATGCTTAATCAACTTGGACAGAGTTACTCCTGGATGCAACAAGCAGCTGGATATATCAGGATTTTTCTTTCTCATGTCAAATCTAGACTTACAGACAGGTTCACTCAGCAGTTTTTTAGTGATCTACAAGCAAGTAACAGGCTGACACACTACAGGAGGTTCAAATCTCAACTAGAACCTGAAAAATATCTTCTTCATATCAAAGATAAGAACTTGAGCATTACACATGTTTCGCTCTTGGAACTATAAACTTGAAGCAGAAGTTGCGTGATGGAAGAAGATTGACCGACATGAGCGATATTGTAAATATCGTTTAATCTTTTAAAGCAGATAGAAGTTGAAGATGAGACCCATTTCTTAACAGTGTGTCCTTTGTATGAGGAACTAAGGTGTAAATATTTCCCATGGATGAGAAGTAAGCATAGATGCATTGAAAACTTCACCAAATCTATTAATAAGTTTCCATTTGAAAGCTCAAAATGCATTGTATCTGCCACAAGAAAGAGAAATCACTATTTATCCAAGCAAAGCAAAACCTCTGGCTGACAGTCTTTTCAAGGGAGATAAACATTTATATCAAAAGTGACTAAAGCTATCCCAAATGTAACATGTTACAGTGACTAAAGAGTTCATAAAATATAGTGATTCTTAAAGAAAATATCAATATGAAATGTCGACTTTGCAATGAATTCACAGAGACTGTCCAACACCTTGTCAGTGGATGCCCTTCCTTGGCACAGACAGCATATCTTAAACGACATGATGGCATGGCTCGTTGCTTTTACTACCGTCTCCGACATGCCTGTGGCTTTGACTCCGAGGTCCATCCATGGTACGACCCTGAACATGTCCAGGGCGTCATGGAAAATGTTGCTTTCAAACTTCTGTGGAATAGGCCCATATACAGCCTCAGAAGAATTCCTGCCAACAAACCTGATCTTGTCCTTTTTGATAAAGCCAATGAATTTATTTATATCATTGAATTTTCTGTCCCTTTTGACACCAATGTAATTGGCAAGACTCAGGAAAAGCATGATAAATATGCGGACCTGGCCTTTGAAATGTCTCGCTTGCATCCAAAGTACACTGTCGCCAGGCTCCCCATTGTTCTCGGTGCCCTTGGTTTGGTACCTCCCTTCTGACACTCTGGGTAATGCAGAAGGCTGCAGTGTTGGCGAGCCTTCATATTCTCCGGAAAGTTCTTGGTGGGTTCGACTAGGCAGCGTTTCCTGGGAGAAGTCCCATTCGCTGTCTGGGCTGCGTGTAGAGGGGGCAAGGGCCCTGAGCTGATGATGAGCCTTACCAACCTGACTGTGCCAGGATCACCTGAACCCTCTCTGCTGCATACAATCTTTAATCTGTAAAACAGAATAATATTAATAATAATAATAATAATAATAATAATAATTGTAGATCAGGAGAGTGCCCGGGTTCTCCACCGGGAGTACAGCCCTTCTGACACTCTGGGTAATGCAGAAGGCTGCAGTGTTGGCGAACCTTCATATTCTCCGGAAATGTTCTTGGTGGGTTCGACTAGGCAGCGTTTCCTGGGAGAAGTCCCATTCGCTGTCTGGGCTGCGTGTAGAGGGGCCAAGGGCTCTGAGCTGATGATGAGCCTTACCAGCCTGACTGTGCCAGGATCACCCGAACCCTCTCTGCTGCATTTTCATCTTTAATCTGTAAAACATAATAATTGTAATAGTTTATTTATAATACGCATATTTCCATGCACAATGCATGCTCAAAGCGCTGATGTCAGGACGAAAAGGCTTTTTGGAAAAGGTGGGTCTTTAGCGATGTTCGAAAGGTTGAAAGTTCTGTCATTTCTCTCAAATGTTGTGGGAGATGATTCCACTCTGAGGCTGCAGCATAAGAGAAAGTTCTTTGACCAAATGTAACTTTCTGACTTTAAGAATACACAGACGATTATGTTTCTCGGAGAGGAGGGATCGTGTTGGTTTGTATGGAGAAAGGAGGTAAGACAGATATTGAGGTGCAATTCCAGATAGACATCTGAAGGCGAGAATGCAGAGTTTAAAAGTGATGCGCTGTGGAATGGGCAACCAGTGGAGGTCTTTCAACACAGGGGTGATATGAGATGACTTGGGTGAGAGAGTGACTATTCTTGCTGCCGTTGCAGTCTACCAATCTGGGATTTTGTTGCACCAGCAAAGAGGCTGTTGCAATAATCTAGTCTTGTCATCACCAATGAGAGGAGAAGGATTATAGCTGACTCCTTTGTGAGAAGCTTTCGAATGTTTCCAATGTTTCTGAGGAGTAGGAAGCATGTCCTGCACAAGATGGTAATGTGCTGGTCCAATG